AATTGGGATTGCAGTTGTTTCATAGATTTCTTTTGTGTTATATTTTCGATACATTTTTATTCGATCTTATAGCATCTTACAATTGTCCGTCGACATAATGTGATATTTTTTCTTTGATCGCTAATATTATTCATAATATTTGATTTAATATTATTTAATTTTTTTTCTTTTCTTAATAGTTTACCCACAGTCGAAAATTTGTTAGACATTAAGAGTCGTGCATACGAGATTTTGACTTAGTTAACTGTTTTACATTAGACTAAATTTTATTATAGTTCTTCGCATAATGACTCGTTTGTATTATAGTACTTTACTTAAATAACTGTCCTACTGTTAGACGATGTTAGTTCTTCACAACTCAGAAACAGATTCAAGAATATTAAAGTTCTTTGCATTAGGACTCACTAATATTAGTTTTTACCTTATACGGTGGCTCGCTATAATTTCAGTTTTTCTCATACATGCTCACTATTACAACTACTAGTAGTACACGAGTGTCTTCATATTTCATGTTCTACACATACGTATATATTACTCTAGCGTGTTTTCATTCTTGTTCAAACTTTTGGGGTCCTATTTAGAACTAACAATGTCGCTACTAGTGCCCCATAATTAGTATTGTTTTTGAAAAGATTATTTTAAGGATAATTTAAAAATTAAGTCTTGAAATTGCATTTGTGTTTCATGAAGTAGTCAACAAAAATCTTTTATTAACCCAAAGTATGATGAACTTCAAATCTAAACACAAATGCCTACTGTGCGTGAAATGTTAGTCAACCAATTATTGGCGGTATTACCATAACTCATGCAAACCCTCAGATTATCTTCAATTTGGTCTAACAGTATGTTTAACATACGGTCGGATGATTGTATCAGCAATGTATGCAATATACAAATGGCGAAATTATTTCAGGAAAGCCACCATGTAAGAGACAAAAAAAAAAACAGACATCCATCAGTAATGTGTAAACATCGGACAACATAACCTTGAAATACTTTATATGTCAAAGTTTTTGGAAGTTATGGAGGAACATATTATTGAGTCGCCAACTAATCCCACCAAACTTTTTCTTTGCGAATCGCGTTGTAAACGATCGCGGGACAGGATACATTTCTTGTCAATAACATGTAGTATGCCACATTGGTCTGAGAAAATCACCCGCCAACGCGATCTTCGTCAAATTCCCGACTTTGACGTTATACTAATTATTTGCTTGCAATCAAGAGGAAGAATATCTTTAATTATCAAAAGGAAGCAACATCTGTGAAGCATGTAACAATACTCTATCAAAACAAGCCAGGAAACAATCCCTCAACAAGGAAGCAACCATTTAACTTCAAAGGGGGGTATGGTTTTCTTGTCTGAGCTCGAACAAGTTTTTTCCGCCTCCATCAATCAAATTTTTTTTTTTCAAAATTTAACACTATAAGGTATGGGGAAATCAGAATTCATAATATTTTTTTGGTTATAAATTTTGCCTGACAACAATATTATTTCCATCGAATTGGGGATCAGACGATATTTTTTTTGGAATAAATCTTACCCCTCCCCCTTTTTCACCTTTTGAAATTGAAGTTAAATGGTCGTTCCCTTATGTAAATAACCAGCACAAAGACTTTCATTATCTTTTTTAACATTCCAAGACGACCTTCGCACTGTTCAAACCAACCTTGAAAAGGTTGTCCTTACACATACTTACCTCAATGTTATTGTCTCTAGTCTGATTATTTAAAGACAAATATTTCAGTCTCTGCACCCAACACTTACAATCAACCAAGCCGTCGCTAACACGGTGCTTAAAAGAACAGCGGCTTGGATTAAAATTGTACTTGTAGACAGTCTTTGATAATCTGTTACAGTTTTATACAAGAGTAAGTCCTTTGTTGTTGATAATAAAAACGAAACTTGCTTGATATTGACAAATCAAAAATTCAAGTCACATGGTAATTGTTGGGGATGCTAAAACCTTCGACATATTTTGTAAGTTTAAAAAACAATATACTGAAGACCTTTTTTGTGTGTTAACATTTCCGGTTGACTGGCATATTTTATAGAATGTACAGCCTGTTTTATTTAAAATTTATTTTGATCATGATGCTGGTCTTAAAAAGATAACGAAAATTAAGCATATGTTCTTTTCACTGTTTTTGAACAGAACTCCAATCTAAAAAAAAAAAAGAGTTCAGATGATCAAGTTCTTTGAACAAAGAGAGAGGGGAAACCAATGGCACTGCTATATCATCTCAGCAATTATATCACAAAAAATATTGCTTGTGTTAATAAATATATAAAGCAGAAGAAAAACAACTGTGCATCTGAATTACCATCAGTATTACAAATATATGAAGGATACATTAACATCCCTTCTGTTATGAATAAATTTGACAAATTCTGTATGCAAAAAAAAAGACAGTTCCTATTGTGGGATAATTTTAGTCATATAGATTATTTCTCCTACATATCTTTATATATTGCTTTCTATAGTTCAAATTGGAATCTCAGATAAGCATCACTTTAAAACCTTTCCCCTCTGTTCCATGCCTTTGGTCGGCATATGTACTTCAGAATAATTCCAAGACATCTGACTGTCAGATGTATAGCAGAACTTCCACACAACATGTAAACGTGCTTTCAAAGTGGGGGCTTTTCTGTCAACGTAACAGGTAAGGCATGTCAGTTGCTTGCACTAGACGAGGCTCATTAGTCCGTTATACACTGTGATGTTAAGGAATCTATTCGGGAACAATCTCCATAACTTCTTGATAAAACTACTGTCTATCATCCTTTTCGACACTGCAAAAAAAAATAAAACAAGCAATTAAAGCGGGGGTTCCAACCACATGTTCCCCATACAAACAGATCTGAACTCAGAACTCTTCCCCTGATCTGCCACTGGATTTATACATCAGATGCATCACAAAATATATACATGTTATGATATATACTAGTATATGAAATAAAAAGAAAATGTTGAATTATCATTAATGTCTACGAAACCACAAGATCCTACTTAATTGACTATGTTATCAAATCATATCAAATGTTTCCATTGGTCTTTACTTGTTGGAAAAATGTATTGAATTCATTGTTAGCTAAATTATCAATTTTCGGTTATTGCCTATTCTTTAGAGCTGTCTGTTTAACTAATGAATTGACTCGAAAAGAGGGGGTGGATATACGTTTGGCTATATTTTCAACATATCTAACAAATATGTGAGAAAAGTTAGGTTTAGAATACGAAATATCTCTCTTATTCTGTAAACAGATATTATAGGATTGTTAAGGTATTTCAGTGTTTTTAAAGCACACCCCCCCCCTTTTTTTGTAATATACACCACAAAAACATTTAGTTAGGATAAAGAACCAATAACCAGTAGTCCTATAATGTTAGAATTCGGAGGTTCATATCATTTACATTCAACGTTTTTATCGGATTTTATTTTAATATCAATGTTGAATTTCATATCATTTACATTCAACGTTTTTTATCGCATTTTTTTACTATCAATGTTGAATATAAGACTTCGGAGGTTCATATCATTTACATTCAACGTTTTTATCGGATTTTTTTTTTTTACTATCAACCGTGCAACATTGAAAGTAAAAAAAATCCGACAAAAAACGTTGAATGTAAATGATATGAACCTTGGAAGTCTTATATGTAGTCCTATAATATAAGACCTCTGAGGTTCATATCATTTACTAGTACATTCAACGTTTTATCGGATTTTTTTTACTATCAATGTTGAACGGTTCAACATTGATAGTAAAAAAAAATCCGATAAAAAACGTTGAATGTAAATGATATGAACCTCCGAAGTCTTCTATTATAGGACTACAATAACCCGGTAAATAGAATAATTGAAATTGAGTTAATTGTGTGTGAGAGGCGCTTTCTAGCAACTTTATGAGTATGTATTATATAATGTTACAGTGTAACAAACCTATCAAACACACCCGTAAAAAATAACATTATCTCCCCTGGAAATGCTTAACAACAAGGCACAAAAAACTGCTACCTTTTTTTGCCCTATATCACATAATTATGAAAACACATTAGATAGATAGGGAATACTGTGGTTGTGTACATGTTTGAATGTGTAGGTGGCACACTCAGAACGATCGTCTCTAGATTTTTCAAAAAATTTGTACCATCGGTTTCCGGGTTCTCGTAGCAACACGTTTCTTTCCCTTTCAATCTATTCCTGATTATGAATTAATCTAAAACATGCATTTATCCTAAAGCAACAACTATTAAACAACTCACCTATACTAATGAGGATCGTCTAATTCCTATCTGATTCCTCTAATCGTACCTGTAATGACGACACTCGTTGTCGCGTCTACCATTGGAGGTAGAGAAATTACATGATTTGACAGGAGAGCGAAATAAACAAGGGGAGCAATTTTATCGAACCGCATACCGGACTGATAGTATATGTATGATCAAAGTATACAGAAAAACGCGAATATAATTGAAATTAGCAGAAAACAAAAAGTAACGGACTTTGGAAAAAAAGGGGAGGGCTAAAATAAATACCATAGTGTCCCCAAGTACCTATGACTTTTGATACCTTTCCTGAAATTCTCTAGTCATAAAATCTTTTACAAAAATTCATCCTACAACAGTTTATATACTTTCAACCACGCTCTAAATCCATGCGATTTCGCGGGTGTGTTCTAGTGATGTATAATGGCAAGTAGGATGGTATATCTTTCAGATCAGCTATGTTTTTCCGTCTTAAAGGATGATAATGAAATTACCATGCCGTCACATCAAATTATAATTTTATTTAAAATATACATTGTGTTAGTCCTGTATAACTATGGGCTTTCCGATGGAGAATGTCTGTCATAAAGTTGTAACATGTTTAGACGTATACATGTATATAATATGTATACATAATATGGTACTACAAACATGTTGCACCTTGGCTAATTAAAACGTCCTCATTTAATCAATATTTATTTTTCATTTCATTTATTTCTATTTTTCAAGTACCACAAGAGATTCAACTGATAATTGCAAACTAAAAATGAATAAGAAAAGAGACTTTTTTCTTGGATTGTTTGTCGGCATTGTGGTAACCTATTTAACAACACTGACGAGCTTGCAATCTCGATCTCAAAAAACAAAATCTTCAGAAAATGCTGCAATCATGATCCAAAACGACGACCGACTTGCGCATCACGGTAAGTGTCATACATGTACAATATTTGGGTATTTGTTTCATAACTCATAAAATTTAGATACTATAGAATAGAATAGAATAGAATAGAATAGAATAGAATAGAATAGAACAGAATAGAAGAATAGAATAGAATAGAATAGAATAGAATAGAATAGAATAGAATAGAATAGAATAGAACAGAATAGAAGAATAGAATAGAATAGAATAGAATAGAATAGAATAGAATAGAATAGAATAGAATAGAATAGAATAGAATAGAATAGAATAGAATATTTTTATTTCCCAAATTACAGGGCCCATAAAGGGCATAAAATCAGATACAATTGATTTACATAATTGGTAACAACAACAATAATAGTCACTTGAAAATATATATTTAGTATATTAGCATTGGTCAGAATCAGAGCCAAAAACCACATATATATTGTGAATAAAAGACTAAAATTACATTATATGCATTCATTCTCAAATCATTTACTTGACTTAGTGTCAATATGCATTACATATCTCCTTAATTCAAAACAGTCACAAATATAGCAGCCCAGTTTTTCCATAAGAGTTACATTTTCTTGAGTTAAGAGCCATAAAAATTTAGAAGATTTATTTAAATTTTTACAATTATAACTATTGTCAGATATGTATTGAAAAAAGTCTTATAGCGAATTTAAAAAACTGTGCATTCTCAATCATATGGTAAATACTACATGCACAAATATTATATTTATATCTTTACAATTTAGATAATGGAACAGTTTTGAATATTAACGTTTTCAGAGTATGGGAATGTGTGCGATTCCTTGTACGTTATCGTACCGTAAGTTATAGCGCCATATCACCACTGAAAAGTGGGTGCATTTTAGGTTCTTTCTTACATTTGTTCTGCCTTATGGAACATATTTATTGAGTTCATGCCATATCAATTTCGCTCAGTCTTACCACCGGAAGTGCTTTATTTTAACTTCCTGTGAGATTTTGAAGTCTGGATTAAGTTATGTCACTAGAGTACACCATTTAAATAAATCGATATTCTATGTAATTTAAGGAACTGTGTTACACCTCACCACAAAGACACAATACTGTTTGGTTGTCTGCTATACCCGTAAGCGAATTTCTGAGCGCTAATGTTTTCAAATTGAACATAATGATGCTTATTTTCATTTATTTGTTGTTGCGTAATAAGGTATCTCTCATTAAAACAAAAATGTTTTTCCTCATTAATTAGTGCCAAAACGATACCATAAAATTTCGTGCGCACAAAAGTTCGACAATAAGCTTGTGCTAAAAATCATGAAAAATCCGTCGTGATGAGTTGAGTATCACCGGATATCTCGAAAAGCAATATTCTATCAAGATTGTGACAATTACAAGTGAAAACTATATGTCTGTAAAATTAAGACAGTTTTTTAAGATGCACAGGTTTTTTTTTCACTTATGTCAAGTATATTAAGCAAAATGTAAAATATGCCATTAAAACACTCTTTAGCTTCCCTTTCGCTTAACTTTGTCATCTATCTTTTTTATATTTGGACATCGTGCAAACAGGGATACGGTTACAACATACTCGTATTGTATTTGATATATATTTTATATTTTGGAGAAGATCTTGCTGTACTATTTTTACCCATGATTATGTTTTTGACTCTGGTAGCAACGGTTAGCTTATGATAAGGTATATACTATTAAATTTAGAGCGAGGGGTGTTGACCCTAGCACTTAATTTCCTAGTATATACATTTTCATTGACTATCCAATTTAGCACATACAATGTATTTACAACTCGAGTAATCTTATAATTGGTCTATTGATAGTTTGTTTTCACCGACTACTTGTTTCACAGGTGTTTGTAAAAGTGAGTCAATTAATATGAATGTGAATTTACTTACTAGTATCACAGCTGTCATATCTGTACAATGTGTTACAGCGATTTCCCATATATTAAGCTTATGAATGCAGAAGAAAAAGACTGGGAACTTTGCGGTTTAAATGTAATCAAATATAAAAACATAGAGGTTTTTAAAGGCCCTAGACTCCAGAATGAAGTGATAGCAGATGCTGGTGTAAGTATGTATATTGAGGTCAGATGGCAATTTAAATTCACCAAAATATAAGCACACTGTGAATTCAGAAATTATTGCGATGTTTTTATTAATGCGAATAATGCGACCGGGTGCGTATCGCAATATTAAGAACTCGCATTCAACAGCTGATATCTGATACATTTATCTGTATGCAGATTTTCCTGAAATCGCAATTATTAATCTCGCACTTTTGTCCGATCTTCAAAAATCGCAATATAAATACACGTTATAATGTCTGAATTTTAAAGTATATAATAGTTTAATGATCTTCAGTGGCAGGTGGGCGTTCTACATGTTTTGAAAACATTTTTCAATTTCATAGTGAAGCTAAAGCTATGTTAAAGTTCATGTGGACCCTTTGGCTAAAATGGCTGTGTTTTCACCTCGAAATTTACTCTGAGTACAGACAAACCTGTGAATCAGGAAATTTAATGCATATTATGCTTTAGAAAATTCAAAACTTACCTGGATTTTTCAGTGCACTTTTTTTTTCGTTCCTACAAAAGGTGCCAAAACAAGTATTAGATACAGAACAAAGGTAACAAAAAAAACAGGCTGGTAACAAGCGTTGCCGTATAGTTTTTTCTGCACGAGTAGTCAGGTCCCTTGCTACTTTGTTTTGTATCTTGACTTGTACGACGTTTTGAATTAGAAAGTAATAAATTTGGCATTTTTAAGACGATTTCATAATTTAAAATATTAAACACAAAAAAATGTTCATTCTGGTTTATGTACTACGATGTTTGGATATTATTAAGACCTTAATAAATTAGGGATTTTGCGTTAACACTAGAGTTTTTCAATTCTTAAAGCTGTGTCCGAGTAAAATTATCGTTGATTACTTTGATACATATCAGTGACGTAGGAGTAGATTGAAAAGGGAGGAGACTTAAAGTGGCAAGCAAGAAAAAAAGATTAATCTAATAGTTTTGAAGTAAGTTTATGTCCTCTTTGGTAGCCATTTTATATTTCAAATACAAAATAAAATGCCAAAAATTGTGGGAGGGGACATTGTTTTGCCCCTCACTCTTGAAAGTGTGTGGAGCGGATATTGACCCCTTTTTTCGACTCCTATGCCCCTGTATATATATATATAAAATTGAGAATGGAAATGGGGAATATGTCAAAGAGACAACAACCCGACCAAAGAGCAGACAACAGCCGAAGGCCACCAATGTGTCTTCAACGCAGCGAGAAAATCCCGCGCCCGGAGGTGGTCCTCAGCTGGCCCCTAAATAAAACTGTGTACTAGTGCAGTGAAAATGGACGTCACACTAAACTCCAAAACATATAAATGAACTAAAATTAGTAAAACATACAAGACTAACAAAGGCCAGAGGTTCCTGACTTGGGACAGGCGCAAAAATGCGACGGGGTTAAACATGTTTTCTGAGATCTCAACATTCCCCCTATACCTCTAGCCAATGTAAAATAAAGAAACACATAGCAATACGCACAGTAAAACTCAGTTCAAAAGAAATCCGAGTCCGATGTCAAAATATGTAACAAAAGAAACTAAGCAAAATGACAATGATACATAAATGAACAAAGGAATGCTAGCAGTTACTGACATGCCAGCTCCAGACCTCAATTAAACCGATTGAAAGATTATGCCTTCATCATATGAAAATAAAGTACAATCCCTCCCGTTAGGGGTTTAGTATCATACCATCATAAAATTTATGAGAAGAACATAACCAGTATCATGCCAACAGCTGGTTTTAGAATAAATGTGTTTATTTCCGATGCAAAGACCCTATGAGTGAATCAATATTAATACCAAAATATGCAATCCTTAATGACTTGACAACAGTATCGTAACTATATTCTTTACGAATAAGTCTGTTTAAAGGTTTGGTCAGCTTTTGAGGTGAATGCCGACATTTTTGTGCTTTGTAAAGAATATTACCATAAAATATTGGATGTGAAATACTTGAACGTATAAGATGTCTGCATGTTGATTTATATTTACGAATGATGTCCTTGTACCGATGATAAAATTTAGTAAACGTTTTGACTAGTTTGTGATATCGAAAACCCTGGTGTAATAATTTTTCAATAATACAGAGATTTCTATATATATGTAAACGCCTAAAAAATGTACAAAACAGCACCAATATAAAAAAAAAGATTTTGGATAAGAAAATTCAAAACTTTGGCACCAAATGGGATAAATGAAAAGATGTAGTTCGAATTCGCGCAGTGCTTTACATTTGGGTTATATTATTTATTACTACACAGTCTCTGTTTCTATTTCTTTACCTTTGTCAACTCCTTAATTTTTTGTAATTATACCAGTTTAAATTTGCTTGGTTTTATTCATTTTGGAGGGATGAACAAGTACGCAGTCACGTTCAATTATCTAACCTTTGCCAAAAGTGTGCAGTTTGGAAAGTTTTAAGGCCTGGCATTCACTAGATATATAAAATCTAAATGCATATTGTGTTTCAGAAAGATAAAATCTTTTTTGGATTTTGATGGGCATTTTTTTTCCTTCCTGCTGTTGGTGTAAAAATAAACAAACACCTAAATTACATTTGATACTGTCCACTCAGTTACACCCTTTAACTCACCTATTGTTGTGTAATTATTTATTGTCCTTCCATTGCCCATGCCAATCAAGGACAACCAATTCAATGCAATACAGTTGTTCCCCGAAAGGGAGCATCTCAAAGATTTACCCAACTTAGTTTATTTTTACACCTTCTGCAGGAACGAAAAAAAATCCCCATCAAAATCCAAAAAAGATTTTATCTTTTTGAAACACAAAATGCATTTAACTTTTTCACATCTAGTGGATGCCAGGCCTTAAAAGTTTCAAAACTGTACAGGTAAGTCTGTACACAGAGTAGTTTTTGAGGTGTAAATACAGCCATATCTGTCCATTTGTTATGATGAACCTTAAATCAATAAAATAAAGAAAACATACAAATTAGAAAAAAAAATGTTTCTCTTTTTTATGAGGAATAACATGTATTGAAAAATATTGGATTTTGTCCCGTTTTTTTTTTTTTATTTTTAGATCCACATATTTTGGAAATCAGTTTATTTTCGTGCTCATTAAAGTAATGTGATATTCGAGTATAACCAAGTATTGATAACGTGGCACAATATATATTTTTCATTTTCCATCCAATGTTCAAAGTGGGTGGTAGTTTAGTTGACGTGGCGTTGTCAGTTTATTTTCGACTTATGAGTTTGAATGTCCCTTTGGTATCTTTGGCCTCTCTTTTAAAAGTTACTTTGATTTTGAGATTCCCTTTTTTTTTTCGTGTCCACAAGAGTGCCAAAATAAACATACACCTGAATTTCATTTGATAAGGTCCACTCAATTATACTGTTTAAATCACCTATTGTTGTACATGTATCTATTGTCCATCTATTGTCCAGGTAAATTTAAACAACTCGGTTATGTTATTACATAGGGGAGCATCTCAAAAAATTTTCCAAACTTAGTTTATTTTGGCACCTTCTCTGAGAACGAAAAAAAGGAATCTCAAATTCCATAAAAGTTTGTAATTTTCTGAAATATAAAATGCATTTTAGATTTAATTATCTAGTTCCTGCCATGCCTTAAAACTTTACCAGGTGCACAGATTTCTCTGTACTCAGAATAAAATGTGTGATGTAAATACGACCATATTTGCCAACAGGTTTTGATGAACCTTAATTAAAAAAAAATATAGATATTTATGTCCCATCATAGCGGATAGGCATTAAAAAACTGACTATCAATAGATTAATTATAAGATAGCATGTTTCGAAATTAAAAAAAAAATAAGTAAAGCTAAATCTATTTCAAAATATAGATATCGGTGGCTTATTTTCTTCAGACATTATAAGTTTTTCAATATATAATTAAAGGGATCACGTTCCTTAAGAACGTAAACAATATCTCGCCATCATCATCAAGTTGCTTGAATTTCCAATCGCAAGGTTTCATGGTACCTGATTTTCTTGTGTACAAGGGAACTGCATGGGTGATGAATAACTACAATAACAAGATTGCGTTATACTCTGATCAAAATTTTAAGAACCATATTGTTATATAATTCTTTATTTCAATGATAATACATTGTAACTTCTATACTATTAAATGAGAAGACCACATTTTTTGTGTCGCTTCTCTTCCTTCCACAATAAATTAATCATCATGCCTCTGTGTCCTATAGGTACCATGCATAGTCGCATTTGTTATCCTCGCTTATGATTATTCAGTTTGGGTTATTTTGGGAGGGAAACGAAAATAAAGGCGTCCGGATATTATTTCCGTCATCGGACGGACTTTTAAGTCATAAACAAGACTTCCGTTTAGGACTGTTACACATAATTTTCATAAGAACTTGGGGACAGGACAATTATTTTCGCGTTTTTCTGTATACTATGATCATACATATAATATAATAGAGAGTCTCTGTATAATATATCAGTGACCGCCGTGGATAGTCAACTTGGAATCGATAGTAAATAGCACATACACTTTATTTTATAGTATATGTATGTTCATAGTGTACAGAAAAACGCGACAAATAATTGAAATTATCAGAAAACAAAATATAACGGACTTTGGAAAAAAGGGGAGGGCTAAAAAAAATTGTCCTGTCCCCAAGTACCTATGACTTTTGATACCTTTCCTGAAATTCTCCAGTCATAAAATCTTTTACAAAAATTCATCCTACAACAGTTAACATACTTTCAACCTCGCTCTAAAGGCCCGCGATTTCGCGGGTGTGTTCTAGTGTCTTTTAAAACGAGAAGCGAAAGATACGAAAGGGGCATTCAAACACATAAGTCGAAAATAAACCGACAACGCCATGGCTAAAAAAGAAAAAGACCAACAGACGAACAACAGTACACAAAACACAACATAGAAAACTAAAGACTGAGCAACACGAACCCCATCAAAAACTTGGGTTGATCTCGGGTGCTTCAGAAGGGTAAGCAGATCCTGCTCTACCCGTATAATAAATACGAAATAAAACATTAAATAAAAAAAGCATTTATTTTAAACCAAGGATTTCAATAGTAGAATATGTTAAAACATTTTTATTATGGACAAAAGAAATATTAAAAAATAGCCAGTGGCAATTTTTGTTTTTAATATCTTGATTACAATACAATGAAATCTTATTGTTGGCATTCATGCATAGTTAATTAGTACACGGGAAAAGTATGGTCTATGAAACTTAGAAGGTAAATTCAAATAATTTGATTGGACGAAGTTGTCAGTTTGTGCTAATATACTAGAGTTAAACCATTGCTGTGACGTCAGCCTATTCATTTACCGTGGATTCTTTTTTTTTTTCGTCACTGGAAATCGAACTCCGTCCTTGAATTGGGTAATGTTGACTGATATCAAAGAGGTTGTAGGTGGATGGTCCCCCAGTTCTGTATTCTTTATTTTTTTCTTTAGTCTTTATATTTTTTCCCGATTAATCTCTATTCTTTATATTTTAACATCATTTTATTCTCTATTCATTATTTTCGGGATCTATTTTTTTTTTTTTTTATTTTTGGGCCCATTTTTCTGCAGTATTGGTCCATTCTTCTTTAATCTGTAAACCCCATCCAGACCCTCATCAAACATATCGACGAACCTCTCGGTTACCAATTGGTGGAAGTCAAAACTCCTTTTGTCACTGTTATCTACTATCTATTTAGGAGTAGATCTTACTGTACTAAATGTATATGTGCAAATGTTTAAGTTTTTTCAAAAATTTTAGTAAATACTACCAATGGGTTGAAGTCAAAACATTGGTTTTATTTATATAACAATACGATACATCATTATGATCATTGCATGCCATCTAAATATTTCATTTGTATACGACGGACAATAGTACATGTAACAGTTCATAGCAAAAAGGATCAGCAAAATAACATCTACAAATAAGTCAACATGGCGGAAATCATCATACTACTCCATATAGGAGTTATTGCTCTTGAATGACTATTTTTGAACTTTTTGCGAAAACTATACAAGAAAAAGAGAAACTTTGAATATCCAAAATAATCAGCAGGACAAAATCTACTAACAAGTCAACGTCGCCGAAATCTTCAAACGATTTGTCACGGGTTTTATTGTCCTTGATGGACGATTTCAACTAAATTTTTTTTTGGTCTTTTTTGTGGAATCTTTGGTAGAAACAGAGAAACGAAAAGAAAAACAGAAGTAATAAGTAATATTAGTTCTAGAAATAATTCAACATGGCCGAAATCATCATCAAATTCTTTAATATAAGTTATTGCCCATGGATTACGAATTTTGTGTTGTTAGCATAAACTATAGGGAGAAACTGTAAGCAGCATATATGATCAGCAAAATAAGACCTACAAATAAGTCGGTCTAAATTGTAAGTCGACACCGCATATGAGTTGTTGATGTTGAATGACGAATTTTATCCGTTTTGTGATTTTGTCGGAAACTTTTTTAAAATAGAGATAAACTATATACAGAAAAATGTCAGTCACCTCCTTATAGGAGTTAACCGATGACTAGTGTTTTACCTAATATGTTGGAAAACTGTAATGAAGCGTATATACGAAGATAGAACAGCAAAAAATTGTCAGCAAACCAAATTACACAAATATACAAATAAGCTATTGCGAATGAAAACGTCAATAGGCTAATTTTTTCATGTTTCTTAATTATGTTGAAAACTATTATAATAGACAGAATCTTTGCTCTACAAAAAAAATCAACAAGACAAGATTCTGTTAAAAATATAGATATTATTGACATGAACATAGATAACAATTTTAAAAAGCAAAAATGGTCAGCAGGATAAGATTTCCAAATATGTCAATATGGCCGAAATTGTTTATCAACTCTCAATAGGAGTTGTTGCCCTTTAACGAGTTTGATTATCCCTTTGATATCTTTTGCCTCTCTTTTGTAATATATATCTATTACAAAAGTTGGGATTTATAACAGGGGCCCCGAAAGGGAAAGCATATTGTGCTCAGAACAAATTTTAACACATAGATGAAAAACTTGATTGCTATGTTATTAATATGCACTGCCACACTTCTATCTCCATATTAAATTCTTAATGACCGTAGCAATCACATGATTGATCGATCCAAAGTAGTAATAAATATATTTGAAAATAAAAATCTTAGTCAAACAGAGAAATGGTTTACACAAAGTTAAATTTTCTTTTATCAAATTTGTAGATGATAATAATATCGCAGAAAATCTAGAAAAAAGAGTTCGAGTGTTATGTTATGTAATGACATGTCCAAAAAACCTGGAGACAAGAGCTATTCATGTTAAAAAGACATGGGGAAAAAGATGTAATATATTACTATTTATGAGCTCAGTGTCAAATTCAAGTTTCCCAACTATTGGTCTGAACGTTTCAGAAGGAAGGCAACATCTCACTCAGAAGGATTCTGGTGCATTTGATTACATTTTTGAAAACTATAGGGATAAAGCTGATTGGTTTTTGAAAGCCGATGACGATACTTATGTTATCCTAGAAAATTTAAGATATTTTCTAAAAGACTATAACACAAGTGACCCTATTTTCTTTGGACACCATTTTAAAATGTTTAGTAAACAAGGATATTTTAGTGGAGGGGCAGGTTATGTTTTGAGCCGGGAAGCACTAACAAGGCTCGGTACTAAAGGAAAGGATCCGAAACTATGCCGAAAAGACGGTGCTGCCTCAGACGCCGCAACTGGACAATGTTTGGAAAAGGTTGGGGTTAAAGTTGTCAACTCAAGTGATGCACTGGGTCGAAGTAGATTTCATTGTTTTGAGCCAGAAAGTCATTTGTTTGGAGACTATCCTGAATGGTATTACAAATTTGATGCAAATGGGCCTCGCAAGGTAATGTACATGTATATCTTAATCTAATACTTTGATTTATTGTCATAGAGAAAATTCGAGATATGTCTGACAAAAAAAAAATCTGTGCAATTTTTGGGGAAAATTGACTGTTTCCAGATGATTTTGTCGTGTAAAGAAAACACAAAACAGTAAATGTTTTCCCAAAATTGCACCGATTGTAAGCTTGATTTTACTTCTTTTAGTTGCTCTCACTTGACCGAGTACAAGAATGCCCTACCACAGAGTATGTAACTTGTCAAAAAATCATATACTCCAGAATCAGAAGTCAGTAATATGAAAATAGTCTAATAATAAATCATGAATTAGTATGTCTTTTTGAAGTATTAGGCATGCAGACATCGTATTTCAATGGTATTTTTATTATTGGCTTCCAAAGTAGCAAGACTTGTACTTTTTATTTATATATATATTAGCTAAAATCAAAATTCAATCCTTTTTAGCTCACCTGGCCCATCACTTGGCGTCCGTCGTCCGTCGTCCGTCGTCCGTCGTCGTCGTCCGTTAACTTTTACAAAAATCTTCTCCTCTGAAACTACTAAGCCAAATTTAACCAAACTTTGCCACAATCATCATTAGGGTATCTAGTTTAAAAAATGTGTCCGATGACCCCGTCTGCCAACCAACATGGCCGACATGGCTAAAAATAGAACATAGGGGTAAAATGCAGTTTTTGGCTTATATCTCTGAAACTAAAGCATTTAGAGCAAATCTGACATGGGATAAAATTGTTTATCAAGTCAAGATCTATCTGCCCTGAAATTTTCAGATGAATCGGACAACCCGTTGTTGGGTTGCTGCCCCTGAATTGATAATTTTAAGGAAATTTTGCCGTTTTTGGTTATTATCTTGAATATTATTGTAGATAGAGATTAAACCTGGTTTTATAGCTGGCTAAAATACCGTAAGTCGAAGAAACATAAACAACAGAAAAAGACGAAAAGACACAACACAGTAAAAAAAAAACACTACACAACCAAGTCCGTAACATGTTCGAAGAGATAACTCCAACTGTGCATTAGTTTCCTTACAAGTAACAACCATGTTTAGGGAAATAAGGAGATGGAACAAAATCCTAAAACATATCGTATCAACTTGGGGATATATACTCCATTTGCAATTGTCACTATATAGAAACGGAAAGTTTCTTGTGAGAAATTTATATATTTGTTTGCCTTAAAGTTTAATTCTGAATCGATTGTTATTGTCAATTTCTAGATGTTAAGGTAGCACTACAGTCTATCAATGATTTTTTGAAGATATTTTTTTTATCACATAATTTTGAATTAAGTATTATTCTGCACAGTTTGTAAAAATCCCAAAGTCATTATCATATCACAACAGGGAGTTAATTGATAATGAACTTATGTAAATAAAAGGATATGGTAATTAATCTAAATATATAGGCATTTGGGAGGGGTTAATATGTCAATCATCTGTTGATACCAGTGTCCAGCTGTTAATCCCTGACCACAAGATAAATATTGTGGTCTTATCTTATTGTATTACAACAAACGTAATTTATATAACATGTTTATAAACAGAGAAAAAGAAAAAGATATGAAAAGGAAAAAAACTAAAGGGAGGAAATCTACAAAAAATGAAAAAAAATATGGAAAAGAGTGTAAAAGTGTCTTTGAAAGCCTCTGACTGCCTGTATAAATTTCTTCTATTTGGTCTTCTACATTTAAATACAGTTTTAGGCATTTTAGCCAATTTTAAGTTTATGTGAAATTTTTCAATTCCATAAAACCCAAAAATCATGTGGGAGTGTCTTTTTTTAAAGAAGTGGATGGTCTTGGATCTTTTTATGAACATGTCTTTTGATGCACAATTTTAATGTTCTAGCTAATTTCAATAATAGTATATTTCTTTTTAAAATACAAATGAAAATTATTCTTTATAGTGAGAATAATAATGTTAAATATTGATTATATGCAGCTGGTCAATCCTGTTATTCTCTTATCTTAGACTGTCTAGACAGAGGCGGAGCTTTGTCTATATTTCATTACTACATCACAGATATTGGTCAAATCTGTGACGTCAAACTCCCGCCAAATGCCAAGTTAGTGTTGCACAGTGCCACACATAATGCAAAATTTACAGCATTAGAGCATCAAAGAGACAAAGTGTGTGGTTCTATTGATAAAGTAATGGTGTCAGAACACTCCTGGGGTGTTCCCAGTGGAATTTTTGTATTTATGTTGCATTTATAGGGGTTCTAAGGGGGAAATTCCGTTTTTAGGTCATTTCTCAGAAAAATTTTCATGAGATTTGTTAGGAAAAAATGAAAATATAAACTTTATGGGTACCCACTTTGGCTTGACTTTGATATATGTGATTAAAGGGAGTATTTTCTACAATACCGTGTTCCAGTTTTTGGATAATTTGTTTCTAAATGAATTTATAGGTCTCCAAATATGAAAGGTGAAATGAGGTTTGGCACTCAGCAGTTAAATCAATATATCTTCTTACTGGAGGCATATATCAATAATCTGAGACACGGTTTTGCAGCTTGTATATGGTTGATTAAAGGAATGAAAACAAATTTTTACTACCATTTGACCTGCATGTGCCATTTTCATCCAAGTTGGAAGACCACTTTTTGGCAATTAATGAGCTATATTTTGAGATTTATCATACTAAAAATAAATTTATCTATGGATTACAAAAGAGTAATATTTCAGCTTTAAAATGAGTTAAAGATTTTAAAAATCCATTGAGTAGTTTTGGAGAAATTAATCTTTAAAGACTGTTGGTTAGAGTCAGAAAATTCTGACTGTAGTGCTACCTTAAGCAAGATATTGAACAAATCTAACTGTATCTGTGGGTTTTCTGGAAAGTTCAAAGGGATACTGTAATGTTTCTCAATTTTTGAGTGTGATACTTTTAGAAATTAAGCTAAAGTGAAGTTAAAAGTTGATATCATCTCCAAAACATACAAAGGAAGAAGTAGACAAGAGATGGGGCACGTTTGGTTCCCATTCGACTGTCTTTTGAAAATTACGTTCACCAAATGTAGTTGTTAGAATTATTTTACAACGCTTTTTGATAATCATAAACAAGTTGTGTATTTGTTCTTTAAGATTTTTGTTTATTCGAGCGTAATTGATGATTATAAAACCAAAAACTCTTAATGTACGCGTGCGCACTGAAATAGGTATTATGCGTTCAAATATCTACACATAAGCAGTATTTCTACTGTTCGATTTACAGTTTGCTTAATGTTTTGAGTTTGTACTTGTTGAAACCATTATGGTTTCCTTTACAATGACGGTGTCAATTTCTGCCATCTTTTTGTTATTTTGGACTTCTGTCTCAATTATGCCTGTCCTGAATTTTCATTAGTTGAATTCATGTCATCTTTTGGATTTTCTTGGGTTTTTTTAGACTATCGTACTTGTAACATATAAAGTTTATATTCACAGGGTATGGAGAGTATCAGTGACCATGCGATATCCTTTCACTATGTCAACCCAAAACTAATGCATGTCATGGATTTGTTAATTTACCATTTAAAACCATATGGTATTCATTCAACTAAATGAACAGAAACAATATGTGAACAGAACCGAAAAATACGAGTTTTGTACAGATTAAAGCGAAAATTTAGAAGGTTAACGAATGTTTATGAGCCAGTTCAATTCAATGTTTTTTTTTTAATAAAATATTAAACATGGTTTTGCCTGTTATTCTTCCAAATATGATTTCTTCATTGCCCACTTTGCACCTAACGTTTTCATTTTATCAATATCCTTTACTTGTGTTGTGATATAACAAAATTGAGTCATAATGTCATTATCAGTGTTGTAAATCTTACTAAATAGTATTTTATCCTGCAATAAGCACATAGCTGCAATTACTCGTCCAATCGTATTGCTTAAATTTCCCTTTAAAGTTAGGACACGGAAAACATATGTACCATCAACGTTTGAAGGAAAAGTTGAAGCAATTTGATTAGACGAGGAGTTGTATATTATTCAACTGTTTTAATTGTTGTCGCTCTGCTATAATTTATCTTATCGCTAAAGACATTTAAGCTCCGCACCTACCGAATTATCCTCGAATTTCTATGCCAAAATGATTTACTTATCAATTAAAATGAGCTTTTAACAGGCTTTAAGTAACTTCGAGTACTCTTAGATTGGTACTTTTGTGTTTTGTCTTGTTGATATATGTTGTTTTTGTGTGTTTCGTGACATTCTGAGGAGTCAAACCCTTGCTATCAAATGTTTACAGTACTTCTGGTGTGCTGTTAGTTGTTGTGGACTCTGATGGATTGTAATTTCTTTAACGGACATGACACATCTTTTTTATTTATAGGGAACGAAAAATCATGTCTTATGTCATTTAAGTACTACTACCGGTATAAAGTTTCTCGTGTGAAACTTTAATTTACCTTAGTACTTCTGTGTTGGCTGATTGACGCAAAGTTATATCGATTTTTTCAACTTTTAACCGCCAACAATGAAATACTGCCTATATTTCTGTTCTTTGTGTGTTGCCTGTAAACACACAGTATAAAGTAATCGAATTAGACTAACTTACGTTTTATTTTATCCATCCAATGGACAAAGACGTGAGCTAAATAGGATCGTTTGTCTATCCAATGGAGGGGCCTCGGTGGCCGAGTGGTCTAAGTAGTTACTACTACTGTAATCACTAACCAGTCAACACTGAGGTTGTGAGTTCGAACCCCGCCGGTGCGGGTGCACTCGACTCCAATCTTAATTGAATAGGATTGTCAGTTTTCCTATCGAAGGTCGGTGGTTTTCTCCGGGCTCTCCGGCTTCCTCCACAAATAAAAACTGGCCGACACGAAATAGCACACAAGCGGTGATTAAAAGTGGCGTTAAAACACAGAACATCAAATCAAATCAAATCTATCCAATAGACATCGGCGTAAGATAGATGGGGTGGTTTGTCTATCCAATGAACATAGACATAAGTTTAATAGGGTGGTTTATCTATCCAACGGACATAGGCATACATTAAATAGGGTGGTTTATCTATCCAATGGACATAGACATAAGTTAAAAGGGTGGTTTATCTATCCCATGGACATAGATTTATTATAATAAGTTTAAGGGGGCTGTTTACATGATCAAAATATGTTTCTATCTTTCATGATTCATACGACCATTGACATCAACCACAGTTCAGCACGAAAATAAATACAATTTCACTGATATGAGAATATAGATTGAAACAATAGCTCATCCCGCTTCACGAAATACATGTAGAAAAACAATTAAATTAAAACAACAAAAACAAACATCAAAACGAAAACAAAGCAATCAAAAACAAACCAATATAAACATCTAAACGTCTAAACATCTAAACAATAAACAAACCAAAATAAACATCAACCTCCAAAAAAAACTTATATAATTATCTTAATAAAAACAAACCAACATAAACATCGAAACAGAAACAAAACAATATAAACATCGAAACAAAAACAAACCAACATAAACATCGAAACAGAAACAAAACAATATAAACATCGAAACAAAATCAAACCAACATAAACATCGAAACAAAAACAAAACAATATAAACATAGAAACAAAAACAAACCAACATAAACATCGAAACAGAAACAAAACAATATAAACATAGAAACAAAAACAAACTAACATAAACATCGAAACAGAAACAAAACAATAGAAACAAAAACAAACCAACATAAACATCGAAACAGAAACAAAACAATATAAACATAGAAACAAAAACAAACCAACATAAATATCGAAACAGAAACAAAACAATAGAAACAAAAACAAACCAACAGAAACATCGAAACAGAAACAAAACAATATAAACATAGAAACAAAAACAAACCAACATAAATATCGAAACAGAAACAAAACAATAGAAACAAAAACAAACCAACAGAAACATCGAAACAGAAACAAAACAATATAAACATTGAAACAGAAACAAAACAATATAAATATCGAAACAAAAACAAACCAACATAAACATCGAAACAGAAACAAAACAATATAAACATAGAAACAAAAACAAACCAATATAAACAAGACAAAATGAGTTTTTTTTTTTCTTTATAAAATTGTTTTCCTACGTATATTTTTCTCTCAGTTTTATAGAAGATTTTTTAATTATCCAACGTTTTCAACATCAACACCAAGGAGATAAATTGAAGAATTTATATTTTGTCCATTTCATACGACATGGTTGCATCCCCAGTTTTGGTTTCTTTCAACGAAAAAATTAAAAAATTAAATTGCGGTCTCCTCTATACAGAACCAAAGTAAGTCTTCTGTATGTCAAATTGTGTCATTCTCAGTGCCAGAAGTAGTTGTTTTGCTGTCTCGGTGTTTACAAGAATATGATCCTTTTTTATATACAGGTATCAGTTGCTAGGAAACAATAGATGATGATTTTTCTTAAAACTTTTGATAGATTGTTTGATTGATTGATAATTTAATTCTTCATCAGCAAACATCATGTGTGTCGCTGCAAACATCATGTATGTCGCTGCTAGAGAAAATGTTCACAAAACAAAATAGCTCAAACAAAAGTTAATTCAATTTGTTTTGGTTGCAGATTTGCATAAACTTACATTGTATCAAATGGTAAAAGCTCATTCAAAACACCAGGCTTATCATTTAGTACGTCGGACGCGATTTTCGCCTACATGATGCTTATCAGTTGTGACCAAATAACTAGAGGCTCTAAAGAGCCTGTGTCGCCCACCTTGGTCTATGTGCATATCAAACAAAGGACACTCTCCAACATTGTAGACAAGAATAGACTTCATGACAAAAATCTCTATTTTGTTGATCTTGTACTACTGATTTTTAGTCTGTTTAGTTTCTCTCTATCTTCTTTAGTTTTTGCTCAAAACACAAAAGAGGGTAAAACATAATCCTCATGTAAGGGCAATCACTCCTACGAAGAGTGAGTCTACTAACTATATCGGCAAAATTTGACTTTTTAATAGATCTCGCCTAACTGATTATTTTTGTGATTTAAAGTGTTTATTTATCTATTATAATTTAAATCATATAAGGCATAACGGGAAAAAAAATGTTTCTCTCAAATATCATAGTCTTCATGATAATAGGCAAAAATGAAAAAAATGGTAAAATTTGTCATTTATGGGCAATTACTCCTATAAGAATTTGTCTAACAGTTTTGACGTATATGGACAATTGGTAGAGCTCATTATTCTGAACATTTTTGCTCCTTTCAGATTTTCTCTATTTATAACGGTTCAAAAATCAATAGACAAAACTTGCTTTTTACCACTATGTTCAGAATCTATTTTTAGCCATGTCGGCCATGTTGGTTGGTAGGCGGGGTCATCGGACACATTTTTAAACTAGATTCCCTAATGATGATTGTGGCCAAGTTTGGTTAAATTTGTCTCAGTAGTTCCAGAGGAGAAGATTTTTGTAAAAGATAACAAAAATTGACAAACAATTGAAAATAAAGGGCAATAACTCCTTAAGGGGTCAATTGACCATTTTGGTCATGTTGACTTATTTGTAGATCTTACTTTGCCGTACATTATTGCTGTTTACAGTTTATCTCTATATATAATAATATTGAAAATAATAACCAAAAGTTTCTTAAAATTACCAATTCAGGGGCAGCAACCCAACAACGGGTTTTCTGATTTGTCTAAAAATTTTAGGATAGATAGATCTTACCCTGATAAACAATTTTATTTCGTCAGATTTGCTCTAAATGCTTTGGTTTCACAGATATAAGCCAAAATCTACATTTTACCCATATGTTCTATTTTTAGCCATGGCTGCCATCTTGGTTGGCGGGCCGGGTTATCGGACACATTTGTTAAACTAGAAACCCCAATGATGATTGTAGCCAAGTTTGGTTAAATTCGGTCCAGTTGTTTCAGGGGAGAAGTTTTTTGTAAAAGTTAACGACGACGACGGATGACGGACGCCAAGTGATGAGAAAAGCTCACTTGGCCTTTTAGGCCAGGTGAGCTAAAAACGGTTCGGAAGCCAAATCAAATACTTGGTTGTAGAGCATTAAGAACCAGATATTTCTAAAAGTTTTTCCAAATACGAAAAAGGCAATGTATGCCTGGGATTAGAAAAACCTTAATAATTCAAAAATATTAAACGCAGTAAATTTACAAAAAACGGAAATCAATGATTTTTCATGTCAACACAAAAGGACAAAAATACCCTCGGGGACAAAACTCAACAAGCAGTGGCATCTACCCAGTGTTTTTTTTTTTAATTCAACACGTGTATTTTTATTAATTATATAATTAGCAACGTTTTTCACAGAGTAAGTACTGATTCTGTCAGAAGACTTTAAAAATATATTGTTATTTACCACAATCATTTTATTGGCGTTAACTTTCCTTGTGGTTGTAGTTGGTTTCCATCCCATTATTTCAAAGCTACTAGTATCTGTCATGCTCCCATCAGAATTAATAACTGCTGTAAACTAAAGAAGTATTGAGGTGAATATGTAAATATGTTAAATTGATGTTACTTTATGGGTATGCAAGACAGGAAAAAAAAACCTAAATGTCACATTTGAATTTCAATTTCAGCTTGAGAGTTACCCGCACAATTAGAAACAAACAAAATATATAATGCATTTACCTGAAAATTCGACAAACTTGTTCCGATTTAATTGATTTATTTTTGCTTGCGTTCACTGGCAAATATTGAATGTAACTATGATCGAGACGAGTATGTTCGAGACGAGAACAATTTCAAAATTGATCTAATAGGTAAGTTCTGCAGTGAGAAATTTGGACTTCTACTTGAAAAAAAAGAGGTTCTGTTGAATAGAGATACATATTTTGCTTGCAACATAGTTTAAGTTATAGTGTAAGACTATCTAGCAACTGGCCGAGCAAAAAAATGAGATATCTCATTGTTATCCCCATTACACAGATAAATCCAAATGTCATGATATAGTGAGAGATGTCCCAGTGTTATAAGCACATGAGAGGTAACATAGTATTTTAGCATTACTTATCGATATCTCAGTGCTGTTAGCCTTAGTGAGAGATATCCCAGTGTTGTTAGCATTAGTGAGAGATATCCCGATGTTGTTAGCTTTAGTGAGAGATATCCTAGTGCTGTTAGCATTAATGAGAGATATCCCAGTGCAGTTAGCATTAATTTAGTGAGAGATATCCCAGTGCTGTAAGCATTAGTGAGAGATATACCAGTGCTGTTAGCATTAGTGATAGATATCCCAGTGCTGCTAGCATTAGTGAGAGATATACTAGTGTTGTTAGCATTAGTGAGAGATATGCCAGTGCTGTTAGCATTAGTGATAGATATCCCAGTGCTGTAAGCATTAGTGAGAGATATACCAGTGCTGTTAGCATTAGTGAGAGATATGCAAGTGTTGTTAGCATTAGTGAGATATATCCAAGTGCTGTTAGCATTAGTGAGAGATATCCCGGTGCTGTTAGCATTAGTGAGAGATATACCGGTGTTGTTAGTACTAATGAGAGATATCTAAGTGCTGTTAGCATTAGTGAGAGATAAACCAGTGCTGTTAGCATTAGTGAGAGATATCCCGGTGCTGTTAGCATTAGTGAGAGATATACCGGTGTTGTTAGTATTAATGAGAGATATCCCAGTGCTGTAAGCATTAGTGAGAGATATACCAGTGCTGTTAGCATTAGTGAGAGATATGCCAGTGCTGTTAGCATTAGTGATAGATATCCCAGTGCTGTTAGCATTAGTGAGAGATATACCGGTGTTGTTAGTATTAATGAGAGATATCTAAGTGCTGTTAGCATTAGTGAGAGATAAACCAGTGCTGTTAGCATTAGTGAGAGATATGCCAATGTTGTTAGCATTAGTGAGAGATATCCCAGTGCTGTTAGCATTAGTGATAGATATCCCAGCGCTGTTAGCATTAGTGAGAAATACCCAAGTGTTGTAAGCATAAGTGAGAGATATCCAAGTACTGTTAGCATTAGTTAGAGATATCCCAGTGTTGTTAGCATTAGTGAGAGATATCCAAGTGCTGTTAGCATTAGAGAGAGATTTCCCGGTGCTGTTAGCATTAGTGAGAGATAAACCAGTGCTGTTAGCATTAGTGAGAGATATGCCAATGTTGTTAGCATTAGTGAGAGATATCCCAGTGCTGTTATCATAAGTGATAGATATCCCAGCGCTGTTAGCATTAGTGAGAGATATCCAAGTGCTGTTAGCATTAGTGAGAGATATCCAAGTACTGTTAGCATTAGTGAGAGATATGCCAGTGTTGTTAGCATTCGTGAGAGATATACCAGTGCTGTTAACAGCATTAATGAGAGATATCCATGTGCTGTTAGCATTAGTGAGAGATATCCCAGTGTTGTTAGCATTAGTGAGAGATATACCAGTGGTGTTAGCATTAGTGAGAGATATACCAGTGGTGTTAGCATTAGTGAGAGATATACCAGTGCTGTAAGCTTAGTGAGAGATATACCAGTGCTGTTAGCATTAGTTTAAACAATATTTGTATTCAGATAAATCAATACATAGCATACAATTCTGATACATGAAATAAATAGGATTCAGGAACAAGCAAAAATTGCTTTGGCATTAGTGAGAGATATGCCCGTGCTGTTAGCATTAGTGAGAGATATCCATGTGCTGTTAGCGTTAGTGAGAGATATCCCAGTGATGTTAGCATTAGTGAGAGATATCCAAGTGCTGTAAGCATTAGTTAGAGATATCCCAGTGTTAACATCATTGATAAATATCACAGGTTCAATAGCATCATTAAGAAATATCACATCGTTATTGACATTAGTGAGAAATTTTTTGAGTGTTATTAGCGGTAGAATGAGATATCCCATTGCTTTATCAATTAGAGAGATATCCCAGTATTATTGGCATTAGTTAAAGATACAAATTTTATTAAGCATAAATGATATATCCGTGTTATTAGCATCATTTAGAAATATTCCAGTGCTATTAGCATTAGTGAGTACTATTCCGTATTATTAATACTAAACGGGATAGCCCAGTACTAATTGGAGAGATAACCCAGTGTTATTAGCAAAAGTCAGAGATAACCCATTGTAATAAGAATTAATGAGCGATATTCAAGTGTTATTAGCATTAGTGAGGGAATTCCCCGTGTTATCAGCATTAGTGAGGGACTTCCCAGTGTTATGAGCATTGGTGAGAATTATCCAAATGGTATAAGCATAACTTAAAGATATCAAAGTGTTGTTAGCATTAGTGAGAAATATCCCAGTGTTATTAACATTTGTTAGAGATATCCCAGTATTATTTGCATAAGTAAGAGATTTGATAGTGTTATTTGCACCATTGAGAAATATCCCAGTGTTGTCAACATCAGTGAGAATTATCCATGTGTTAAGCATTAAAACGATAGCTCCTTTAACAAAGTATTATATAACAAAAGCTTTGAACATAGATAAATAAGAAAGAGTTATGTAAAATAATTGCGTTTCAGTGAAGAGTTGGTGATGTGGAAATGGTGAAACTCGGTTTTAAGATTCAAATGAGAAAAGGTGAGTATAGACTAAAATGGGTAAAGGTAAGTATGGACTAAAATGGGTACAGGTAGGAAAAGACTAAAATGGGTAACGGTAAGTACAGAGATAACTGTCAAAGGTGTTTGATCTTGGAAATGCAATCCCTTTTGTCAATTAATTAATTAATAATTTTAAGCCCGCTTTGATTGCTGATGAAATTGATGTTAATAATTTAGAAAGAGGTTTCCTGGAGCACTCGAAAGACCAAGCAATATAACGAGTTAATTAATTAATTAATTAATTCGGTATATTGCTGGGTCTTTCAAGTTAATTACTTCGTTATATTGCTGGGTCTTTCTAGTTAATTACTTCGTTATATTGCTGGGTCTGTCAAGTGCTCCACGAAACCTCTTTCTAAATTATTGACATCAATTTCATCAGCAATCAAAGCCGTGACGCTACCTATTCTAGAGGTGGCGTGAATCAGATTTGATACTAAAAAATTCCAAAGATCTTTTAGAGTACATACAAACTAAAACTCTCTCATCTTGTAATAGTAATAAAACATTTGACTTTTCTACACTTAACAAAAAATTCTCTGAAACTGACATTATCAAGATGCTTGAATTCTTGATTGACAACATATTTATTACTTTTGGAGGACGTGTTTTTCAACAAACAATCGGCATTCCCATGGGAACTAGCTGTGCTCCTCTTCTTGTCGACTTTTCCCCTTATTTTATGTGAGGCTGACTTCATACAGGAACTTCTTAGAAAGAAAGAAAAGAAGTTAGCAGTATCCTTTAATTTCACTTTCCGTTGATAACTATGTTGAACGCATCTATCCCATCGAACTTGAGATAAAGGATACAACAGATACAGTTAAGTCTGTCTCATATCTTGACTTGCATCTAGAAATTGACAATGATGGTCGGTTGAAAACAAAACTTTACGACAAAAGAGATGATTTCAGCTTCCCAATTGTGAACTTTCTATTTCTATGTAGCAACATTCCAGCAGCGCCTGCATACGGAGTATATATCTCCCAGTTGATATTCCAGGGCTTGTTTTTCCTATCATGATTTCCTTGATAGAGGGTTGCTGCTCACAAGGAAGCTATAAAACCAAGAGTTCCAAGTGGTGAAGTTGAAATCGTCACTTCGTTAATTTTACAGACGCCATCACGAGTTGATTAACCGTTATGAAATATCCATTTCACAGATGACAACGGATATTTTCCAATTGTCGTTACTACAATCCCGTCCCCTTTTCCCGAATATGACCCACCGAATTTGACTCATCACCTGGTTTGTATGTGGAGCAGGATCTGCTTACGCTTCCGGAGCACCTGAGATCACCCCACTTTTTGGTGGGGTTCGTGTTGTTCAGTCGTTGGTTTTCTATGTTGTGTTTTGTGTACTGTTGTTTGTCTGTTTGTCTTTTTCTTTTTCAGCCATGGCGTTGTCAGTTTATTTTCGACTTATGAGTTTGAATGTCCCTTTGGTATCTTTTGCCTCTCTTTTAAGCCGTGTATATCGTGAAATTGCATTACCAGTTTTAGTGTGCATATTAAAACATATTCCGTCACCATTCTTTATTTTTTTAGCTTTTTTACCTTTCCCTTGGGCGTCTTTTGAAACGCATTCCTCTCCTAACTTATACTTGTAAACCCGCGGTTTTGGAATTGCATCTGATGAGACGGTCATTGTCCAGTTCTCGTCTTCTTTTTCATATTCAACGGTTGTAGTAGCATTACGATACTTGTCTACCAAATCTTCAGGGGCCCCTACAACACGTCATAGTCCTAACATTAAATTTGATACAAAATAATCCAATATCAGAAAATGTTATTTTGAAAATGATTATGTAATGAAACAGAACAGAATATTGTCTTCTCAAAAAACTGTTGATTTACTGGAAAAAACATACAGAAAGGTTTGAATGCGAGACAAAAATGAGCAAAATATAGAGGTATACTAGAATGACTGTAACACCCTTATAGGGTGCGGAAATTCATTCAATGAAAAATGTAAATTCCAAAGATATCTAATAATTACTGAATTTTGCTTTAGAATATTAATAAGTGGAAATATCTCGATTTAATTGTGTATTTTGCCCGCAATGCCACTGGACTTTGTGGTAGTCATCTATGTATTTTGTGTGATAACAGATTGCGAAAAAAATGGGAAAACTTACCAGTCATTTTGCAGTATTCGTCAAAATTTTTCCTTGAAGCTTTATTTCCTTTCCATTTTCCTAAGAATTGTGACATCTTTAAAGAGCAGATTCGTTATGTAAAAGTCTTTTGTACAAGCAAATGATGGTTAGTTGTGTAGACCAACGATCACAAATACAGATTTGCATTGTATCAGTGATTGCCCCATTCAAATTATGATTCGTCACACAATTAATGTATGCGTCCTCGTCTTCAAATTATCTAAGATCTATCTAAAGGGTACTTTGTTCATGTATGAACAGTCAATTAGTCCATGTTTGGAAATTAACCTGTAATCAAATTATAATTAGTCAACCCAAAAGTATAACTTATCATCAAACTAGACAAGAACAGAATCCCAAATCAGATCATGACGGTAATAAAAATTGCACTGCATAAATGTTTCATTAGAATTCAATATTTTTGATTGGCAGGCAACAATCGCGAGGCATTCCGAAATCTTATTTTATTTCCGGATAGAATACAGCATTCATGATTACATGTGCTTGTCGTGACAAAGTTACAACAATGCATAAGTACACGTTCGAATAAAAAGGACTTAATGGGTAATTTCATGGTTAAAGCATTTAAAAGATGCCATCATAAAAATTAAATGCTTCTTTTTTGTGATTGTATACGGTTGTAAAAGCGTTGATCGTATGGACATTCAAAATGCGCTTCGTGTAAATTGTGCTTCGGTCAACTTTTTTAAACCCCAATAAAATACAAAAAGAAGCATTCAATGCTTAAAAATTAAAATCTGCTATGTTTCTTGCGTTATTTCTTGTTTGGTTTGTTTTTTATGCCAAAAGAGTTCACTCGTATTAGGTAAGGTTTTCTTTTTATCTTGCACATCCTTTTTTCTTACTTATCTCATATGTTGATATTACTCCGAATCTTACTGCAACTCACCGATATCATATGTATCTTAACATTTTTTTTATCGATAGTTTCCCACATTTTTTATAAAATTCCGTAGACACCTCACACAAATCAATTTAAGGAAATTAATTAATTTATACAGATAATCTAAATTGTGAATTGTCTTGAGAAAAAAAACGACGAAGAGTTCCAAGTTTTTCCATACGATAATTAACTTATTATATGAGTCCCTCTGATATCCTTTTTTCGTCAGCTCGTAATGTTTTATTTTTATTTTGTGTTAAGGACAGATTGTACAGGAATGCCCACGGTTACGAAGCGATGATGAATAAAATAAGACGTGGGGTTATCCTACGGTACTGTAGTTCCGGCTTTTGTGATAAATTCATACGCTTGTGTATTGGGCAACAAAGATATTTAAAATATAAAAGAACAAATTGCAAGTTGACAGGTCGACAGTTGACGTAAATTAAGTCACAAAAAAAATTATTTCATTACACCAGAATAATGCTTAATTGGTAACAATTAACAAATAGACAGTTGACAGGTCGACAAGTTGACAGTTGACAATTTAAGGTCGACAGTTGACAAAAACTATGAAAAAAAATGATTAATTAATTGTGTACCAAAAATAATTATTATAGTGGTTGTCAGTCGACAGGTCGATTTGTCGACAGTCAACAGGACGACAGTTGAATTTTGTAATACGTACTCTGTAGGACACGAAATACATTTTTACAGAGGATGACCTTGAGGTCATTCCGATGTATTGCTATCGCCTAAATTTCCATTATGCAAATTAGTTTTGGGATTTCAACCGATCTATAAAAATTATAGATCCGCGGTCATTACAAGGGAAAAAAAGTGCATTTTTATACCTGCGATTCCGTTCTCCGTTCGTACGATGTTTCATCAAAAAATGGAATAATTTCGGTTGTTGATTTAGTACTGAAAATTTGAGTGAATTATCTCCTTATTAAATACGGTTTTATATGTTTAATTGGTGTTTAAGAAAGAGGTCAGGTGCTCATGCTCATTCATAAAATTATCGTTCATTCATGAATTTATCGTAAAATCAAAATCACTACACAGGTCACACAGGTTGTATACGTAGTGTCAAATGATTACCTGTTATCTAAAAATAGACAAACTTAACTGACTCCCCTTACTATAGTGTGTGATACATGTAACATTTTGTGAGGGAATTCGATGTTTGCTATACCACTGTTCATTTCAACGCACTTTATGACGATACCACTTTATCAATATGAATGAAATTTTTTGCAGTGTTTTAAGAAATAATTTTACTTTAAAATCGTGTATCATTTGTGAACTATTAAATGTTTTACAAGGACGAATTTTCTGTTTAAAGTCAATAAGTGTGTGAACTTTTGAAGCCCAAACTTTTTATAGCCTTTAATACGCTAATGAAAGATCCGAAAACTATACCCATACAGAACGACATTTTTTTGAAATTGTAGCAAAACTTTTGGTTGAAAAATTTTAATTCGTTATTGCATAAATATCAACTTGAAATATCTGTCATTTTCTCCCTACCCAGTTTACCCCTATTACTCATTATGATGTGGACTGGACATTATTATTGAATCTTATGCAATTTGATTGGATTAAGTTATTATAAGATTACCTTCAAACTGTTCATATTTTTTCGTACGAGTATATTGATTAAATCAGAGTGTGCATGAATGTGTACAGTAAATTAAATGACCTGCAAACTGGACACTGGACCAGTCCATATTACGTTTTATCAATGAATAGAATTTTTTTTTTTTTTCCCAAATTACAGGGCCCATAAAGGGCATAAAATCAGATACAATTGATTTACATAATTGGTAACAACAACAATAATAGCAGCATATAGATAGATATTTAGTATATAAGCATTGGTCAGAATCGGATGAATGAAACTTAAGGTATGAAAGGTAACAATTGCCACTTTTTATCTTTTCACATAATTTTCCACATTCACATTAGATAAATTATTTTTGATAGCCTATTGCGGAGAAAAAAGAGAAAGTTTACTGTATTAACGTTCTATTCCATTAAATACGCCATTTTTCGAAGATAAATGCAGAAAACATTTTATGCACGGCTACGCCAGGTAAAATTGTTGTTTATCCTAACAAAAAAATACAATTTTCAGTTTCATTAGAATATTATAATAATAATAAATCCCAAATTTATCATAGTAGTCATTAGATAAAGTCCTTATATGTCCGATCTGCCTATTTTTGGACATCAAAAGAAAATACAATCGTTTTAAGGTCAATTTCGTCTACCTCACACAATCTTGTTAGGCACTATAATGAAATGGACCTGAAATGTATTTCACATGTTTCCTGAAAATTGATAAATATCAAAGCAACATAAAGCTGTTTGTTCTAGTTCGTATAATGACAATTTAATGTCATGTTTGTTTGTGATGACCCCCCTTTTCGGGATTGCATCAGAATTATAGTTATCTCGTATCGCATGAGGATGACACATATCAGCTGAGCAATTATGTTTGGGACTTAGTTTTAAGAAATGATGTCAAGGTGACATTATGAAAATATTTTTAGTAAGCTGAAATATATATTTATTTTTTACATGTTTATGTCTTGTAAGATATTTTATTTCTGTCCCGTTTTTCAACATTTGCGTCTGGAAAGTTGAAATGTTTTAACTGAATGGTTAATTTAAATTTATTATGAAAATTGTTAAAATTAAATCAATAAAGGAAATTATTGCCCAGTTACAAACACTACCAGGGGATAATCCATAATGATTTTTTTTTAGTTATATGTTTCAGCACATGTATAATTAACCCCAACTTGGTAAGCCTGGTAAACTTGTTGTCTCCTTGTGAAATATAAAACATATTTAAAATGATTTCCTGCTAAAGTCTTTTATTGATATAAAGTTAAAACCGTCTTGCTTCTCACTAGTCAACACTCCTGTCCTGTCAGGTTTAATTCTTATATATATGGATGAAAAATAAAAGTCCACAAAACATTAGCATGACAGCAATTGCTTTTACAGCCTTTAAGGCTTTGATTTTTTTTTACAGAAGAGTGTCCACCATGCACTTGCACTGCACTATAATAATAGTAGAATAGAATGATATACAAATAGATGAAAATTATATAAACATGCAACCGTAATATTAATATAATATATAACAACAAACCAGTGTATTCTCTGGAACTATTATTATATTAGTATAATAGTCTAAGGTATACTGATTTGTATCACTACAATATAATATTTATTACGGTGAGGTTGAATTACCTGTCATTTATTCATCATCCAAGCACGAACTTGTATCAGAAAAAAAAAATCTGTAAATTAACCTCAGTTCAGGTATAGAGATGTGATCTGTTTCTGTGACATGTGCTTTTGGCCATCCACAAGAACATGCGGTCATCCGATGTTCAGTACTTCAGTACTTTGATTTAAATAGTTTGGCCTTTATATACAGACATCCTATACGAACTTTTCAAAAAGTACTAGAACTCATTGATGACTTTGACAGAATGAACACAGAGAATAGATTCATGCGCTTATGAACTGTAAATACATACAAACTTGTCTACCTCATACATTAAATAGATTTTTTCTTAGGAGGAAATGTTTATGAAATTATAACTTGCAAACTATTTTTTTTTCTAACCAGTATTACTTTTCTTTCTTAATAGATTTTTTAAGTTACCAAAAGTTATATACTGTTTCTCAATTTAATAGGACAAGTTTATATATTTTTCTTTTCTTTTTAAAAGATAAATTTAATCGATAATTTTTTTTACTATATTATCACAATATTCATGATATTAGCATTTCCAAATAAAGAGTTTTAATTTTGTTAGATGTGGATTATTTTAGGCCGTTATTAAAGACGTGATTGTAAATATTTATAAGTTAAATATTTATTTATGTATTTTATTGTAAATTGTGTGTCTCATAAGTCTATATAGGCTGGGCAATGATCTTCGTTTTAACTGTTTTTGTATTGAAAATGTATATTTACTTGTACATGTAAGATCAATATGTGACACTTTAATAAAATAATCCAACATGTAACACTTTAATACTCAAATATGTGACACTTTATGAAATAATCATTATCTTATCTATCGTCGTATTTCAAGCATCAAATGATATGTGATATTTTTGGGATGAAAAA